GGAAAAGCTAACGAACAAAAAAAATGGAGCAGACAGAACAGTATTTTATGCATGGAATGATAAAGATGCCAAAGGCAATAGGTACTTATTAAAGTAGAGGTGTTTAAAAGGACAGTTCGAGAGAGAAATATACTGGTAAATGTTGTAAGGTAGTAAACAAATGGGTCTCATGAGTCACGTAAATCCGGTCATTACTGATGAGACAAAACCATATATAGGGAAAACATATTTTTCACACCATTTCTGCATCTCTCTTTCTTTAATTTTTCAAACTATCAACTTTTGATTGCAAGCCTTTCACTGTCATGGTAGAACTCTGCCCTTTTTATTTTGTTTTCTACCACATTTACTAATTAACCACCATCCTGGTGGAGTCCACATTTTTATTGAGAATTAATTGATATTAGCTAGCTAGGTTAAAAATTCACAACAGAAAACTATATATATTTGACATTAACTAGCTACGTAAAATTCCAGTCTATTAATATAGGATTCAATTAGATATAATATACTACGAATAAGATTTTTCCCATATTTCATCCAAAAAATTAAACTTTTTTTTTTTTTTGGGTTTGTTTTCGAGGGTGCCTGACAACCACCTGTCAAGTGTAGTTCAATTTAACCAACTTTTAAATGATCGACTGGTTCGATAAGGACTATTGAGTATATTATTCAAGAGGTTCTGAGTTTAACTCTCTCTTCGGTTGCTAATAGAGATGATCATTAGAGCTCTTACTAGGTCGATAGTTTCAGAGTTTTAGAAGATTAGTTAAGGTGCGTGTAAGTTGACCTGGACACCTCTAATAATAAATTAAAAAAAAAAAAAAAAGACCATGCCTTATGTACCCTATTACAATGTCAAGCTTAATCAAAACATATGCTGCACAAACTAATCTTGTATAGGAGATTTATAAAGTTAAATAACTCTCCAGAATCAAGATATATTATAATTCTTGAGTTGCTATACGTATTTCTTCTTTTCTCCTTTACCCGTTGCAGCAGGAGGTGGGAGAACAAAGCCCGTTTATAATTCACGGATCATGAAGACAGTAAAGCTGCATTTTGGGGGCTTTGGGAATGGTTTCTATGTTGACATCATCAAATTTTGAGTAACGTGGACAAAAGCGACTCCCAGATCGTGCAAGAATACCAAGAACAAGGAAGAAAGAAACTGTACTGTAACCCTCTCTTGGCCGTTTTGGCCAAAAAGCTGCCATTTTTAGAAAATTCTCGGGACTTACCCTTCGAAATTATTTGTATTGGGACATCCATTTGTAGCCACCCAAATATTCCACTGTTTCTTATCTCTAGTTATGGTTATGAATAACAAATTTTAACAATAAGTAGTGAATATAAGAATTTTAATATATGGTTAATTAATAAATTTCTATGCTAATCTACTTGTAGTATTCCTATACAAAATATTTAAGTTGGCTAGAAAGAAATATTACCTTGTCCTCATAAGTTGACTTAATCAGTTTGGCATATGTCCACAAACCTATGTATCACAATACTTTTCTTCTTTTAAAATTATTTTTTTTGTTAATAAGTTCACATTTAGCTCTGAATTCTTGGGTACCCTGTTGATTAATAATAGCTCCGACTCCATCATTCAACTTTTGATTTTCATACACCAATAATAACTGGATTGTGATGATCATGATGATCCTATTGCAGCTTTATGTGATCATACAGGTGTAAAATTAAATATGTCAGTAACTCTCACTCACATCTGAAAGAAGAAAAAGGTTGAAGGAAAGAGACGGAGGAAGTCTTAATTATCTAAATATACATTTCCCAGACAGCATCAAAACAAGAAAAAAGGTTCCTCAGACCATCAAGGTCAGGTGCCGTGTTGAATATATATATATATGAAAAATGAAAGGACGATGACTACTTTTGCAGCAAGGAATGGGAATCGAGTGGCCAAAGTTACAGGTTAGAAGTCTTGAATATGTAGTATAATGTTCTTTCATTGCTTATTAATTTAGTCAAGAAACATTTTCCATAATGCTTACTTCTTGTACGCTATAGGCTTGAAGAGTGTGGCAAAAGTTGCAGATTAAGGTGGATAATTATCTCAGCCCTAGTGTTAAGCGGGGCAATTTCTCTGAGGAAGAAGACGACCTCATCATTCGTCTCCACAATCTTCTTGGCAACAGGTTCATCATCTTTCATTAATTATTTTAACTTCATTTCCCTCAGTTTTCAACGTCTAATTATATACAAATATAACCTTTTTTTTTTCCTCTAGATGACTATAAATTTTTCTTTCACCATTGTATGGTTATTCGCACAGTGCACATAGTGCTGTAGGAGTTATCATAATGAACGATTGTAATCATGGTTTGCCTGTCGACCCTTCCTTTATTAATTCATTTTTGTCTTTAATGATGTTTTTCTTCACGAATAATTGTAGCTGTATGTATCTGTATCACTGTTTCTTGTTGGCAGTACATTGGGTATCATATCTCAAGCCACTTATTTCATTTTCATGGTTAATTAAAGTGCTTTTGATTTAGACAGATTTTTAATATGTCCAAATCATGATCGATATGGTTCTTACCATTTTTACACATACTACTATTGTAACTCTCTGTGCAGCTTTTGTCAGCAACTTCGCAAGACCTTTTATCATCAACTTTGTTTAACCCCTAGTCAGCCATAAACTTGAGAGAAGAAATTGAAAAGAGCTGCCTTTTGACCATGAATCTTAAATGGCCGAAGACAATTTACCACCAGTCAGTACAACAGTGACTTCAATTTCTTCTTTTACCCCATATTCGGTTGGCAAAATCATAAATACTTAAACGAGTAAACGACATATTCTCACCCAAGGTTTGCGGAATCTTCCCATTTTCATGGTCTGACGCAATATAAAATGTGTTATTACCAAACTCTCCATTAACTTTTACTTTTGATTGTGATGGCTACATATCATTAACCTCTCTAGAAGATAGAAGCTTGTCCACCACACCCCTACAAGCTGGGCAAACCCTAGCCACCACAATTGGCAGCACAGATCGGCCAAAGCCAACAGTAGTAGCAGTGCGAAGGAGATTGGGAGTGGCACCCGTACCCTCGCTTGACTGTCGTCCACCAAGACGGTTGGATTGCATCATTTCTACGACTTTTCCTCTCACCCACTGCTACTCTTAGGCCGTTTTCGATCGATTCCGACATCACCAAGTTCCCCCATCACCACCATCAAAACCCCCATGCCACAATCACTCAAACCCCTCACAATCCCACGCTTATGCCCACACATCGTCGGTCGATAGCCCCTGCAATTTGACGCGATTCTCCAAGTTTGCAACCAGATACTGACCTATCTTGACATCGGGAATACCCCTTTCACAACCATTCGAATCTTCGTCCTCTCCTCAACAAAACCCACCCCTCCACCGCCCTCCCCCACTTGCCCTTTGCCCTCCACAAGAAGCCAAGTCGCATTCCTATTGCAAGGGTGCAATTGTTAGATTTCAAATTTGAGATGTGGAGGGTGCTTGTGAGAGAAATTTGAGATGTGGAGGGTTATCTTGAAACATATATTCCTTTAATCATTATATAAAAAAGTGGTGGGAACTTCTAGACTCGCCGGGCCTTGGGTGGGAACATATCGTTTACTCATACTTGAAATCTGAAAATATGACTGTGTCACCAGCGCAAAGATTGAGACAACTAGTCTCAGAAAATTACAAATGGAAATTAAAACCGTACATCTCTTTCTGCAATCAATGTATTGCCACCCACTTTCTGCCATTGTCATGCATCGAGATTTGCGTTTCTCCCCTATGTATTATTGTATTCAAGGCACCTCACAGTACTTTCAGTAACAAAATTACAATGCAAACCTAATCAAAACTGCCCTTGAGTTTCGGCAACAAAACAGGAAGAAAAAATAATATCTCAAGCACCACACTACTAATAACTATACAAATTAAATGTTTACTGTTTACACTGAGATTTTCAAGCACGTGTGGCACAATATTGCTCCTCTTTTGTTTTTTCTGTGCATGAAGAAATTTCAACGCTCATTCTTTTGAAATTATTATCTCCACTCCATCATTGAACTTTTGAACTGATACAATTCACATCATCAAACTAATAATTAAGTATATTCTTAACCCAGAATATATATAAAATAAAAGATGGTGTTAAAGTTAGTGGCGTCTACAGGTTCATGGCCATGGCGGTTGAGCAGATATGAACATATCTACGGGAAGAATCTAAAGGGCAGACGAAAGTGATCGGGGGCCCGACCCTTTATAATAATGCATGTGAGGGTTTGGGTAACAAACAACATATCCCATCTCTTTGCTTTATGGCAACTTTACCACGACTAGTATAGCGACCCTACATCATCAATCTCAATCTTTTTTTTTTTTTTTTTTTTGTTTTAGCGAGAGTATTCGGATTAATATATGCGTACCTCAACTAATCTCTTAAGACCCGAAAGTTCAAACAAATAAGTTCTTTAATGGCCACCTGTGGAGATTCGAACTTAAAAGTTTATTGAATTTTTTTTTGCTTTTATCATCAAGTCACCCAATGGTGATTTCAATCTCAATCTCCCTCGTTTGTATGTGTGTGGAAATGGTTTAAAGAAAAATATTTTTTCTTTTTTTTTTTTGAAAGGTAAAGAATTGGCTTTGTATTTGTTGTTTGATGGCACAGCATAACCTTTACCCTGTACTCATCTCTCAAAGATTTCGGTTCAAACATTTGACAACTATGCAGATAAAGATAACATTTCTGAGTGCCTACGTACACGTTGAGCAATAATCAGACAAAATCTATTAAACAAGAAAAACAAGTATTTGTTTTTTTAATTAATATTTTATATATATTGTGTTAAAGAGTTTTTTTATTATTCTTGAAAACGCACGTGTTAATGTGACAGTATAAAAAAACACGTATAAACCTAGCTTTCCACATTTATTCAGTTCCACGACTTAGAGGCTTGAGCTCTCTGTCTCTTTGTCTCTCTGTTCCTCTCTCTCTCTCTGTCCCTCTCTCTAGCTATCTACAATTACAACAGCAATGGAAGGAAGAAACGAATATAAGAAAGGGTTGTGGACGGTGGAGGAAGACAAGATTTTAACGGATTACATAAGAGTGCATGGCAAAGGCAAGTGGAATCGAGTGGCCAAAGTTACAGGTTAGAAGTCTTGAATATGTAGTATAATGTTCTTTCATTGCTTATTAATTTAGTCAAGAAACATTTTCCATAAATGCTTACTTCTTGTACGCTATAGGCTTGAAGAGGTGTGGCAAAAGTTGCAGATTAAGGTGGATAAATTATCTCAGCCCTAGTGTTAAGCGGGGCAATTTCTCTGAGGAAGAAGACGACCTCATCATTCGTCTCCACAATCTTCTTGGCAACAGGTTCATCATCTTTCATTAATTAATTTTAACTTCATTTCCCTCAGTTTTCAATGTCTTAATTATATACAAATATAACCTTTTTTTTTTCCTCTAGATTGACTATAAATTTTTCTTTCACCATTGTATGGTTAATTCGCACAGTGCCACATAGTGCTGTAGGAGTAATAATCATAATGAATCGAGTTGTAATCATGGTTTGCCTGTCGACCCTTCCTTTATTAATTCATTTTTGTCTTTAATGATGTTTTTCTTCCTGAATAATTGTAGCTGTATGTAACTGTATCACTGTTTCTTGTTGGCAGTACATTGGGTATCATATCTCAAGCCACTTATTTCATTTTCATGGTTAATTAAAGTGCTTTTGATTTAGACAGATTTTTAATATGTCCAAATCACGATCGATATGGTTCATTACCATTTTTACACATACTACTATTGTAACTCTCTGTGCAGCTTTTATCAGCAACTTTGCCAGACCTTTTATCATCAACTTTGTTTAACTACCCTATATATATTATTGTCAGAATATCTAGATATAACTTTAAAACAAGTCATTTCAATTCATTTTCTCAAGGTGGTCCTTAATCGCCGGCCGGGTTCCGGGAAGGACAGACAATCAAGTGAAGAATCATTGGAACACTCATTTGAGCAAAAAGCTTGGAGTTAAAAAGGAAAAAAGCCGAGTGTGTGCTGCTTCACCAACGTTGTCTAAAGAATCCGAGGAAAGTTCGATCGTGCCCTCAGAATCAAATTCAAGACCTCCACCCAATTGCAATGGCGAAGCGGTAGGCGTTGAAGTCAACGGAAGTGGCTCGCTAAGCTCGATGGATTTCTACAGCCCACAAGAGCAGCAGCTGTGGAGTAGTGATGAGTTTGATCATAATTCTTTTTGGTTATCTATAATTGATGATCTAAATTTACAAGTTCCTAACTTAATGGAATTAACTCTTGATTTTGTCTGACTTGACCTGTAAAGTTATTTTCCTTTTGTACTAGTATAATACAGTCCTCAATAAATTGAATTTTCTATATATCTCTTCATGTAATTAATAAACTAGTTTGGTCGTGTTTTCAATAATTGAATTTAAATTCGTCCTTGGAAAAGCTAACGAACAAAAAAATGGAGCAGACAGAACAGTATTTTATGCATGGAATGATAAAGATGCCAAAGGCAATAGGTACTTTTAAAGTAGAGGTGTTTAAAAGGACAGATCGAGAGAGAAAGCAGGGTAAGGTTGAGAACTGTACTGGTAAATGTTGTAAGTTAGTAAACAAATGGGTCTCATGAGTCACGTAAATCCCGTCATTACTGATGAGACAAAACCATATATAGGGAAAACAGATTTTTCACACCATTTCTGCATCTCTCTTTCTTTAATTTTTTAAACTATCAACTTTTGATTGCAAGCTTTTCACTGTTATGGTAGAACTCTGCCCTTTTTATTTTGTTTTCTACCACATTTACTAATTAACCACCATCCTGGTGGAGTCCACATTTTTATTGAGAATTAATTGATATTAGCTAGCTGGGTTAAAAATTCACGACAGAAAACTGTATATATTTGACATTAACTAGCTACGTAATATTCCAGTCTATTAATATAGGATTCAATTAGATATAATATACTACCAATAAGATTTTTCCCATATTTCATCCAAAAAATTAAACTTTTTTTTTTTGGTTTGCTTTCGAGAGTGTCTGGCAACCGCTTGTCCAGTGTAGTTCAATTTAACCAACTCTTAGATGGTTGACTGGATCGATAGAGATTCTTGGGTATATTATTCAATACGTTTTAACTAATTGAGGTGGCTACTAATGCTCTTATCAGGTCAATAGTTTCAAAGTTCTAGAAGATTAGTTAAAACGTATGTAACTCGGACATCTCTGATAATAATTAAAAAAAATAAAAAATGACCATGGCTTATGGACCGTACTACAATGTCAAGCTTAATCAAAAAATTCTGCACAAATTAATCTTGTATAGGAGATTTATAAAGTTAAATAAATCTCAAGAATCAAGATATATTATAATTCTTGAGTTGCTATGCGTATTTCTTCTTTTCTCCTTTACCCGTTGCAGCAGGAGGTGGGAGAACAAAGCCCGTTTATAATTCACGGATCATGAAGACAGTAAATCTGCATTGTGGGGGCTTTGGGAATGGTTTCTGTGTTGACATCATCAAATTTTGAGTAACGTGGACAAAAGAGACTCCCAGATCGTGCAAGAATACCAAGAACAAGGAAGAAAGAAACTGTACTGTAACCCTCTCTTGGCCGTTTTGGCCAAAAAGCTGCCATGTTTAGAAAATTCTCGGGACTTACCCATCGAAATCATTTGTATTGGGACATCCTAATTTGTAGCCACCCAAATATTCCAGTGTTTCTTATCTCTAGCTATGGTTATGAATAACAAATTTTAACAATACGTAGTAAATATAAGAATTTTAATATATGGTTAATTAATAAATTTCTATGCTAATCTACTTGTAATATTCCTATACAAAATATTTAAGTTGGCTAGAAAGAAATATTACCTTATCCTCATAAGTTGACTTAATCAGTTTGGCATATGTCCACAAACCTATGTATCACAATACTTTTCTTCTTTTAAAATTATTTTTTTTGTTAATAAGTTCACATTTAGCTCTGAATTCTTGGGTACCCTGTTGATTAATAATAGCTCCGACTCCATCATTCAACTTTTGATTTTCATACACCAATAATAACTGGATTGTGATGATCATGATGATCCTATTGCAGCTTTATGTGATCATACAGGTGTAAAATTAAATATGTCAGTGACTCTCACTCACATCTGAAAGAAGAAAAAGGTTGAAGGAAAGAGACGGAGGAAGTCTTAATTATCTAAATATACATTTCCCAGACAGCATCAAAACAAGAAAAAAGGTTCCTCAGACCATCAAGGTCAGGTGCCGTGTTGAATATATATATATATGAAAAATGAAAGGACGATGACTACTTTTGCAGCAAGGAATGAGCTTCCACGTTTACATTTACTCAGACAAATTAAGCCACAAAAAACAGTACGTTTTGGAAGGTACTTTTGAATTCTTTGCATATATGCTATGTTACCTACATGTTAAAAAAAAAAAAATAATAGCGCTTTTGAATAGGAGAAAGTGCCTTTTTCTCGTCTCTTCTGTCTATCTTTTTTTTTTTTTTTTTAAACAGTTTTGCCTTACTTTCAATAACTGTTATTGCCACTGAGAAAGGTTGCAAGATTGTTTTTCTTTCCGCATAATGCATACAATCCTTGCGACTCCCTAATTGTTATTTTGTGCAATGATGGGCATAAGCACTCACGCCTGCACTACATCCACCATTGGGATGCTAATACTAAAGGAGTGTGAACAGTCTTGGTTGTTATATTTGTTGTTATATTTGATGTAGTTAGGTGTGGTTTAGTTAGTAAGTCAGTTAGTTTAACTGTGGTATAGTTGGTTTAACTATGAGTTAGTGTAAATGTATATAACGAAGAGCATTGTATTTCCTGTGCTTTGTAGCTTACAGCGAAAATAGATTTGTGAATATCATCACTCATCTTCTCTGAATTAAAACCTGGTATCAGAGCAGGCTTCGAAGTCTTCTCAATCTTGATTTCTTTCTTCTTCAATTTTTCCCCAAATTCCAATATTCGCCTGATTTCTTTCTTTTCTCATTTTTTCCCCAAATCACCAATTTTGCCCAAATATAGCAGAGATACAAGATGTCGAATGTCACTAATTCTGGATCTCCTCTACATTCATCCATCAGACACTCCTGGTTCAGTCTTGGTCTCGGAACAGCTCACTGGTACAGAAATTACGAAATATGGAGTCGCGCCATGACAGTTTCTTGAGAGCCAAAAATAAGTTAGGGTTTGTAGATGGATCTTGTAAGAAGTCCGAATTTAATCAATCGTTGCATGCTCAATGGGAGCGTTGTAACCTTTTGTTCTTGCATGGATTTTTAAACAGTGTCGAAGGAAATTTTCAATAGTATCGTCTACTCAACCAGTGCTAATCAAGTTTGGCGGACTTGAAAGAGCAATACAACAAGATAAATGGGACAAGAGTGTTTGGGATTCACAGGGAGATAGCCAATTTGATGCAAGGAACAAACTCGGTGGCTGCTTACTTAACAAACTCAGACTCTGTGGGATGAATTGGTTTGCTAGTGAGTTTACCACCACCAGATAGTGAGTCGGCCAAAGCTTATTTAGCTCCACTTGAATCAGCAGAAACTACTGCAATTTCTGATGGACTAAAATGTCTTATGAATGGTTCGAAGTCAAATATTGTTAATGGTGCCTCTGCCATCTGTGAATCAAGCTTACTCTATAGTAAGTCAGGATGAGAAGTAAAAGGTGTTAACAGGATACAATCAGGCTACTGAAGTTACCACAGCATTATATTCACAAGGCAACCAAGAAATTCAGGTCAACATTCGAATATAAAGGAAAAAAACTTACATTGAAGTGATTACTGCCATGCACCTGGACACAAGGAGATACCTGCTACAAACTTCATGGATATCCGGCTGATTTTCAATTTAACAAGGGGAAATCTGGAATGAAAGCTAAAGCCAATCAAGCTCAACCAAGTCTGGAGCAGGGATCACAGTCACAATGGTTAAATACTGAAGGTGCTACTGATGGTACTAAAGGAGGAGCAACCTGGGAAATGTATTGACTCCAGAACAGTATGCTCAACTGCTGCAGTTGCTGGGAAGGAGAATCTAATAACACCATCAGCCAATTTGGCAGGTAAGACCATTCATTATGTTCAAGTTTGATAATGAATGATTGGATATTAGATTCAGGGGCCACAGACCATATGACCCATGATTTCCGAATTTTGATTCTACCATAGCTAGTCAATCGTCCATGAATAGCTTCGTAGGTCTCCCAAATGGTAGTAAAACTTCAATTAGGAATATTGGATCAGTTCATTTACAAGAAGACTTACTACTTGAAAAAGTCTGTATTTACCTGATTTCAAATACAATCTGCTGTCGGTATCTAAATTGACATCTCAAGTCATTGCTCCATCACTTTTTATCCGGATTTTTGCATTGTCCAGGCCTTTGGAGTGGCAAACTGAGGGGGATGGTAAGCTATGCCAAGGGTTGTATCATTTATCCCTATCTCCAAATAAAAGGTTGTTTACATGATTTACTCCAGCTTTAGGAAAAGCATTAGGCATATGCAAGTTTGATGTAATAAGGAGATATTTTGTAATCCACAAATTCTTGATGCTCATGTTGATCATCAATAAAAAGGTCTTTGAATATTGAGGATATTACTTTGGCATAGACGATTAAGCATGCTCCATTACCCATTTTGCAAACTATAAATCCTGGAATTTCAGTTCAAGAAAGTTTCATTGTGAAGTTTGTCCTGGCCAAACAAACCGCTACCTTTTAGTCAAGTGAGACAACTACATCAAATGTGTTTGTTATTGCTTTAGATGTTTGGGGACCTATAAGGTATCAACACAAGGTAATGCAAGATATTCCTTACTGTGGTAGATGATCATACTAGAACTACATGGCTGCTTCTTATACAGTTTAAAGCTGATGTGTATCAAACATGAAGAATTTCTGATTATGGTAAAGAATCCTACAATAAAACCCCTAAGTCATTAGAACAGACAATGGAACAGAATTCTTAATCAAAATTGCCAAGAATTGTTGTCTAGCTTGGGAATTATACATCAAAGTACTTGTGTCTACACTCCACAGCAAAATGGAGTTGTAGAACGCAAGCATAGACACATCCTCAACATTGCTAGAGAAAGTCATTCAATCTCAAATTCCAAATTTTTTGGGGTATGCAGTAAAAGCAGCAGTTTATGTTATCAATAGATTACCTACCAAGGTTTTGAATGGTATTTCACCTTTTGAGAAGTTCTATGGCCATCAACCTAAGTTGGATCATTTGAGAGTTTTGGCTGCCTAGCATATGCTACCAATCTCAATTTTCAAGGTAAATTTGCACCAAGGTCCATCCCATGTGTTTTCCTGGTTTTCAGCTATAAGAAAGGATATCTATATGATTGCAATCCAAAAAGTGAGGGTTAGGGGATGTTGTTTTCCATGAACAAATTTTTCCCTTCCATATGCATCGTTCCAATAACCATTATTTCCTCTTGAGAACTTTATGGAAGAAGAGCTAGTTCATTATCCTCTGATTTGGATAATTATCATGAGACAGAACCGTTGTATCTAACCCTATAGCCCCTGGTACCCCCGCTGTACCTACTGTTTCTTTCACATAATCAACTTCGTAAATCCAGTAGAACCTCTAAGCCCCCTATTTGGACAACTGATTTTGTGTGTCCCACTCTGCCACAATCAAATCTGATTCCTACTGTCAAATAACCATTCACAATTACATAACTTACAATATCTTTCCCAACCTACCAAAGATGTTGTCTAGTATATCTACACACTGAACCAAATTCTCACCCAAGCATCAAAGGATCCTAATTGGGTTGCAGCCATGCAACAGAGATTCAAGCCTTGGAAAGAATGGGACATGGTCTTGGGTTCTCTACCACCAGGTAAGGTTCCAATAGGGTGTAAATGGGTTTATAAACCAAGTACAGAGCGATGGGACTCTAGACAGGTAAGGCCAGATTGGGGCCAAAGGATTTACACAGAAGGCAGGAATTGATTATGAGGAGACTTTTTCTCCTGTGGTGAAAATGGTGACAGTGGGTTAGTCTTAGCTATTGCACGTTGAGAGATTGGCCTCTCTTCCATTTAGATGTTGATAATGCTTTTTTGCAAGGGGATCTTCAAGAAGAAAATACATGCATTTGCCACAGGTTTTTCCAATACACATGCTCAATCTTTAGTTTGTAAATTGCACAAGTCACTCTATGGCTTGAAACAAGTTCTCGGGCATGGAACACCAAACTCACCATGCTGTGTAGCAGGAGATTTTCAACAGTCCCTCCGATCATTCTTTCTTCTTTAAAAAGCATAATGGTCATATTGTGATTCTTCTTGTATAGTGATGATTTAGTGATTACAGGGAATGATGCTTCTAGATTCAAGCCACTAAATATCTATTGCATTCAAATTTTAAACTCAAAGACTTGGGACATCTTCGATATTTTTTGGGTTTTGAAGTGGCCGCTCTTCCAAGGTATAACTCTCTGTCAAAGAAAGTATGCTTTGGAATTGATAGCTGAATCTGGTCTAGCAGCTTTAAGCCCACTTTGGTTCCACTTGACCTCAATTGAAGCACAACTGTAGAGTATGATCAAGCTTTTCTGGACAGTCTGTCCTATCTTAAGTGATCTTCAGTCTATCAAAAGTTGATTGGCAAGCTGTTATATTTGTGCCTCACCAGAACTGATTTAAGTTTTGCAGTAAACTTGCTAGTCAATTCATGCATCAGCCCAAACAATCCATTCAACACTGCCATGAAAGTTGATATGTGAAGGGTTCTCCTGGTTTAGGATTATTGTTCCCAGCTGAGGTACATGCAGCTACAGCTTTTTGGACTCAGATTGGGCCTCTGCCTCAGACTCGTAAGTTCGGAACTGGGTTCTGCATCTTTCTGGGCGACTCCTTGCTGTCCTGGAAATCCAAGCGACAAGTCACAGTATCTAGATCCTCATCCGAAGCTGAATATCGTGCTATGGCTTCCAGTTGTGAAATTGTTTGGGTGTCTCAACTGCTTACTGATCTTGGTTTTCCCCTGCAGCTTCCTATTCCCCTTGGCTGTGATAATCAATCAGCCATTCATATTGTTTCCAATCCTATTTTTCATGAACGTACAAAGCATATTGATAAGATGTCACATGTTCGTGCGAAGATTAAGGAAGGTTAGTACAAAGTACCTACTCAGGACCAGCCTGCTGATTTATTACCAAGGCTGTTCCAACTGCTCTTCATCGCCATTTGCTGCCAAGTTGGGGGTGCTGGATATTCATCACCGCCAACTTGAGGGGGGGTCTGGATTGTTATATTTGTTGTTATATTTGATGTTAGTTAGGTTGTGGTTTAGTTAGTAAGTCAGTTAGTTTAACTGTGGTGTAGTTGGTTAACTGTGGTATAGTTGGTTTAACTATGAGTTAGTTGTAAATGTATATAACGAAGAGAACATTGTATTTCCTGCTGGCTTTGTAGCTTTACAGCTGAAATAATAGATTTGTGAATATTCATCATCTTCTTCTCTGAATTAAAACAAACAGTTTTGTATATTATTGATTCTGATTTTTGAAGCCTCTTCTGTTGGCGGATGAACCATTCTCATGAGTGCGTTTTAGTTTTGGCTGATACTAAGCTAATTAGAGATTGATGTTAAGTGTTGTGTCTAAAAAATTGCACTGATGTCAGCACCAACTAATTAGTGTTCAGGAAGGCTTTGTACCATCAAGGAGTTGTCACGTCGCCCCAAGACAGAAGGGATATGGCTGTCACCAACCCAACAGATTTAAGTTTTGTCTATGAGTGGATGAGGACTGCACATCTGTCCCAACTTTACCAAAATAAAGTTAAAAAGGATTAAGGAGTGGTTCCCACGGGTCATAACAACTTGCAAAAGTAGTCATTATATTGACCTAAAAAGGTGTATAAATTAGCAGCTCTCTTCACGAAAAAGGGGGTTGGGAATATGATAACTAGGCATAGATTTGAGTTCCATTATTTCTCTCTTTAAACAAAGCTTTTCTCCATCTTTGCATGTCTTACGGGCAATATCATAGAAATAGCCAGAGAATAATACAATAACAGTAGATATAAGATTCGCTTTAAACATCCGAACCACTTTAAAAACCTCTCTTGTCAGTCTATTATTTATGTTTTCTGCAACATATATAATCTCAGCTCCATATTCAAATCTCATGGATCCATCACGTGTAATTTCTAAGACTCTCTTAACACTTTGCTCGTGCTTGTCGTTGATGTCTAAAATCAAGCGTCAACATTCAGAGACCACAAACTCCAAATGAGACTGATATTATGCACATTTCTTGGTACTATTAGTATTAATGAGTATAATCGAATCAGCCATCACTGCCGGTAGGGATAATTTGAGTGCATCTCTTTAATTAAACCATGAATAATACTTTGCGTACTAACGGATTTTACTAATCAGTGTACTAACTTTTGTTAAAATCACATATAGTATATATACTATACGCATGGTATCCGTACTATGTTTTAAGTTAGTACACTGATTAGTAAAATCTGTTAGTACCCATAGCATTACTCTTAAACCATGTGCTACACATTAATGTAGTAATTAAACAAACAGACTTGATAATTAAGGCAATTATTACATAATTGGATATGAGAACAGATTGACCAATCCAGCGAAAAGTTGAAAGATAATTAATTAATTAACCGCCGGCCCCTCATGGTGAATAACAGCTAGCAGCTAGTCTCATTCTCTCAGCTCGCTGAGGTGATAAAATGACAGCAGGTTAGCGTCATTGCTTTATGAGGAGCAATAACAGCTAGTAGCTAGTCTCATTTCCTCATAAAGTACTTATAGCATTAGTGCATTGCCTATTTGCTCTTGTATTGTTATTATCAACTAAATGATTCAATGATGTTGTCAGCGTGATCCATCACTCCTAGACTTCGTGATGATTTTCACCAACAAATGAAAGAACTAGTAAAGGAGGAGTTAATGGAATGACAGATAAGAAACAAGTATCTTCTATTATTACAGGTAGAAATATGAAGAACGAGCCGACGTGAAGTTGCTCCATTTCATTCATTAGCAAATGATTATTAACATATAAAAGCCAAAAGCAACACAAACTTTGAACTAAAACGACTTAAGGGACCATTTAAATCATCATGATTCATGACCCCGGAAACCCAGTAATATATGACAAAGACAGAGAGAGACTTGATAATCATATGATGATAACAGGAGTGACTTCTGGGCTCAATTGCCAAAGCTCAAACTTTCCCTTAACAAAATCATAATATCCACCCCTCAACGCTAAAGTTTTGTTCGCCACAGCCTTTTGAACGTACGGATAAGTAAGCAGGTTCACCAATGACAAATTCACAGCTTCCTGCATAACATTGATTCATTAATTAGTGAGAAAGTTTTGTCATTAGCTTAAATATTATGTTAATCAATTGCTCTTTTGATATATATATATATATATATAACTGCATGCAGGGTTACCCTTTCACAAAGTGGAATTTGTTCTTCAAGTGATAGGCAGTTATGCTCTGCTTTGACTTTGAGCTTTGCAGGTAATGCAATTTTCATCCATTCATCAATGAAATCACTGCACATCTCGTTTGATAGGTGAAATTAGTTTGTAATTAAATTAAGCTAATTAAAAAAACAAAAAAGTATGCACTAAAAAACTTGAATGGTGTTTAATTAAAGCCTTACTAAGGAGCAGAACCATTCTCTGGAAAGGACATAAGCCTCTCGATCCCACCACAGCGACTGTGCCCAATCACCAAGATATTTTCAACCTATTCAATTGAACTATTGTTAATAATTTACACATTTTTTTATTGGATACCAAAAAGCAAGTAAGAATGTTAAACCCTTTTTTAATTAATGAATAATTTAATGTGAGTCTACCTTAAGATTTGAAACAGCATATTCAATGGTTGCACCGACCCCTGAGTATCTTAACTGTGCAGCATACAATACAAGCTTAAATTAAGATTATACGAAACTAGGAAGTGGAAAGAGAGGTTAATATATAATTTGGATAAAGAGATATTTATATTAATGGATTAAGGAAATGTGTTGAACAAATAACCTGATCAAAATGAGGAACCAGGTTAGCGATGTTGCGGACCATGAAGGCTTCGCCTGGTTGAAAATCCAAGACATGAGAGGGGCTGACTCGGGAGTCTGAGCACGCAAATACTAGAAACTGCACCATATATTAAGTACGTATTTCATTGAGGTTCATTCACGCACATTATCAATCTGACTTGATTGGACATAGAAGCAAATTAATTAAGGATCAAAAGTATACCTTAGGATGCTGGTCTTTAGCAAGTTCTTGAAAATATTCCGGGTATTTGCTGGGAAAAACCAAAAAAAAAAAAAAAAAACAAAAATTAAACTAGTGAATATTATAAGGAGTAGCTAGCAACACATGGAAGATCAGTTGTGGTATCATACTCAAATTTGCAGGTTTTGAAGCGAATGAACCCATTTTTAATACTTTCAACTGGGTCATAGCAAGCGTTGGGTTCTCCCCCTAGCAATTCAAGTGGTAGCTTCTGGCAGCTATCGTCTTGCTCCTCTTTGTCACTGTAAACATTAAAACATACCATAATATTAAGTGAAAATAATTCCATATTTCTTACTCCTGCTCATTAGTTTTAGGCCATAGTTACTGATGATATATTCAAAAACTGCTGATTCATGAAGATGCATGATATCTTATCATATATGAATTCCTGGTTTCTGTTTTGTAGTATAGACTTGGTGAGTACAGCTTAATAAGTTCATATAATTTTGTGATCATAGCTAGGAGTCCAAATTTGATAATGATCATGCATGATTGTCCATATTTAAAAAAACAAAACAAAAATTAGAGAATTTATCTTTTCTTTTGTTTTTTCCAGGTTACGATGGATGGTGGCACAAGATTCAAGGTTACGTGAAAGGATTACTGAAAACTTAAAAAACCTTCATCCTGAAACACTAATATTAGTTATTAAAACTTGGCGAAATTGTTCTACTATAATGAATAATAATACTATTGAATGATGTTAAATATATACAGTGAAATTGTACATAGTAAAACTAAAACCTGAGATGCTTCTTCAGCCCTGAAATGAGCTCCTCGGTATACTGCTTAGCCATACGAAATTATGAATATAAATAAATGCCTCGGTTCTGCAAAATTCAGTAAAAAAAATAATTAATCGAACTGCAGGAAACCATATTGACATCAAACCTAGTACTGGCTAGTTCTTCAGGTATCACTTGATTATATAACATCAAAGAAACATATCTCTATCAACTCAAACAAAATAAATATATATGTTTGAACTAACCGTTTATAATATTTTTGAAGTTTAACGAGAAATATGCAAAAAACTACTAGAACTGAATGATGATCAGTTGCATCAATGGCAGGTTCCAATTTATAGGCTGGTCTAGGTTAAAGTCTTGTAGCTATTGCTTTCGCTAATTTAAAACGTTTTTCACAAGAAACATATTTGCGCCTTCTAAATTGAAAGTCTACAAAGAGAATCGCCCACGTCTCTCTTCTGATATTTGTCCTTTTTTCCTTGCCAACGCCATACTCAAACAAAACTTTCTTTCTCTCTCTTATAAATATTGTTGTTTAAATATATAGTGTCAAATGGAAAATATGTATTAGGTTAGAAAGATTTTCAAGGATTAATACATTTTCCATTATATAATATTTAGCTTGTTGAGCAAGATCGACCCAATTCCAGTTGATAAACAAGGCACTCAAAGAAATTTTATTGGTCTTAGATCTTTCTTCCTTCGCTTAGTACTAATTAATTATACTTGAACTTAATCTGTTGATAGGTGTAATGGCGTAAGTAATAAGAATTTGAATGCATCATTAAAAACAAGTCCAGTCAAATGAGAGAATTTCTTTTGTTTCTATCATTTGTCTTAAGAAATGCAGGTTGTAATGACGTTCATATTAATTAATAATTATTAGGTTGAAAGAAAACTGTTGCATTAATTGAAAATTATGAATCCTAATCTCCAAGGAAAATCTTTCTAGAGAGAAATATGTATACATTGATTGACTTTGGACCTTGGTTATCTCCACTAATCGCCATGGATAAGTATAATTTGACAATCTTAAAAAAACTTTTTAGGTGAGATGAAAATAACGTGGAGGGCCTACCTTTGATCTTAATCGCTTAATTCCTTTTTTTTTTTTTTGCGGTAATTCATATTTTGTTTCAAAGTAGAAGAAAAACTTTTTTAAATAGAGGTAATTGTTAGAGTTTTTATCCGATTAGTAGTTCTAAGGTCCTAAAAAATTAGTTGCGATACGCGTAAGTTAGTTCATACACCCTCGGTCATAATAATAATAATAATAAAAAAACTACATATATATATAATTTGTAGTGATAAGAAAACAGTATAAAAATAAATAATTTTTTCTGTATTTTTTTAATACAATGTTGGTATTTAGAAGGAAATACACCTCTTAAAACTCTTAAGACTCAGACTTGGTTTAAATTAATTAATAATTACTTGATTGACATTAAATAAAAATTGTGAATGATGAACCATGTGCATTTCGGCATTTCCTAATAATCCTAGGAAAGAACTAAAGTAATATAATTAGGAATGAGGAAATTAGGATTAGCACTTTAAAGAGTTAAGGAATTAAGCATATCTATCTTGCAATTAATTGATTGCTTTGGACCTTGATTACATCCAATAATTATTAATGTATGGGTTCAACCTTCCAACTTCTGTGAGCATGTATTATTTCTGTATCGTTCATCTTTGTTTTATTGAAGATATAGGGAGTGAATTTTTTGTAATCGTCTTTTCATTCAATTTATATCAATAACCCATTTTTTATGTTCATCTATTCTTGTTTAAGACTTAATCTTAGCTAAAGTGTGATGTAGATATACATGTGAATTATTGTTGTACATGTGAATTATTAGTTGTCACTTCTTGTCGTCATTTTGAAACGAATCAAATAAATAAATATATACATGTGAATCATTTGTTGTGTCACTTGTTCTTTTCTTTTTCACCCAAAATGACATGTACCATGAGCTAAGCTATGACGTACTAAATTTATAAGAGCACGAGTTGTCGGAATACATGCCCTAAATTTACGATTACAAAACCAGAAATATGGAAAGAGAATTGAAAAAAATGAAAAAAAAAAAAGAAGAAAGAGAAGAGTATTATGGCAAATAATTAAAGACAATTTAGGGGTATATTATATCCATACCTAGGGTTGTAAACGAGTCGAATCAAGTATTTGGCTATACGAGTTCGGTTACTAACAATGTAAAAAGCATCCTAGACAACTTCTGGAAGTTGAAAAATTCATGAAGTAGCCTTTCTTCTATTTAGTATTCGGGGGGGTGGGGGGTTTTTTTTTTTTTATTTTTTTTTTTTTTTTTTTTTGGTGGGGGGGGTTTTTTTCGTTGGCGAGCTTGACATTAGAAATTAGAATACATAAGGGTGTCCCTTGTAAGTGGCATATTGAGAAGGGAGTAAATCTTTAGCAAAAACAAAAACAACATAAGGGATTTAAAAAGACAGAGATCTCGATACTTCAGCAGTAAATCAATTAATTAAGGAACTCTTATTGAGTTAAAAAAATGTAAAATTCCTGAATATCTCAATACACTCATTAGCATGACAAACAATCATAACTAGACAATGACCAAAACTTGTAAGAACTAAATTGACAAAAACAGATACAAGTCAAATAAAAAAAAAAAAAAAAGTTGTCTATGATTCAACAATACCCTGCTTAGAGAATAAAGATATCCCATAGCTTCCCTTACAGATCTTTCTACTCTTACCAAGTTACTAATGAGTCTATATCTTACATAATCCTATGTCCTCAATTGCAACCATTGAAATAATTTGTGTTTTTGAAATAGCTTAAATGGGTTTGCACAAGTGACACAACACAACCACCCAAAACCATAGCTTAAAGGTATCACAAGTTATTACCCAAAATCAACACAACACAAAAACTGCCTCACACTTCAGAAGTTACGTAACCACTGCCTCACACAACACAACCACCCAAAATCAAGAATTTCAATGGCATTCTTCTTCCTTTGGAGGATCAAAATCAACACACCTGCCAATGCACGAGTCCGAAGTTGGAGGATCAAACAATCTCATGATTTCCTCATCTAAAGGGATAGGACGTGTAATCTCCTTCTAAAATACGTAACCAAAGAAAATAAAAAAGTTTAAGTTAAGAGTAAAATAAAAGTCAATACTAAATAAAAGAGCCATAATACTTTTATAATTTTAATAAATCGAACTTAACTTTGCGCTACGTCTTCACTTCATTAAGATTGTGACACTATTCACTTGCACATAGTAACACTTGGACTGCTTCCGGAGACAATGAAACTTGATAAGTGTTGATAACTCTACTCACGACACTAAAAATAGCCTCTAAGGCCACCACGCTGATTGAAATGGCTAGTATATTATAAGTCATTTTAAATAAGAAATTATACTTCAAACTATTCGCTTTCCACCAATTTAAAGCATCAAAAGCCTCATGATCCCCTTGACAATTGTAACACCCCTTGTCCAGATAACAATCTAATTTAGATTTTGTTGCAGGTTCAACAGTTTCACTTACATATCCATATAACTCAGTAATACAAACCAATCGGAAGAGTTATCTTCCACAGTCATCCCACTAACCCCTTCGATTCCAACATTTCGGTTGACGGTAGAAGATTGCTTATCAACCATATATTCCCCATACAGCTTGTATAAGGTTTCCCTATAATGAATCTTTCTAAATTAATCTTTATATTCATTCTTTCATTTATTTTTTATCATATCAATTTGTAAGATTTTTATATACATATACTATTACTCTATTATTTATATACCTACTTCATTAGGTTAGTTTTGTATAATATGTATATATATTTATTATTTCTTTATATATCCACGTGAATCATGCATGGGTTGTCACTTGTCAACTCTTTCTCTTCATACAAAACGATAACGATTATATATATAATATAATTATATATATATATATATAATATATTATTTCTTTATATATCCACGTGAATCATGCATGGGTTGTCAACTCTTTCTCTTCATACAAAATGATAAGGATATGACGTAAGTATATATATATATATATGGAGAGAGAGAGAGGAGTGATTGTGTCAATCATGATTTTTTAATAGAATATTATATATGAAAAATCAGAAAGATCAATCTTCAAAATTGTCACGGCTGCTCTACAATAATTTTATTCAAGGTTAAAATGTTAACATATAAAAGAAATCCAAATCAAGATTAGAGTTATACGTATTATTGATTAAGCTCTCACTAAATCTCTTAATTTATAAGCTCTAATAATAATACTTTTTCAAATAAAATATTATCTTATTTATTTATTATTGTTATAAGTGAAGCCTATACACTATCGTATTGGCTTAAGTTTACTTTGCATCGCGACCGTTGGATTTGTAAGAGATCTGACAACTGAAAACAGAATACTGGTCAAACCTATAAAAGCTGAAGTCTCTTCCATTCGCAGTAGGCTCTCTCTCTTTCTCAATTGAAATCTTCCCCAAATTACTTGGTTAGGGTCAAGAATAGGGCTTTGTATGTGTGTGTAAATCTGCTGATAATCTGTCCATTAGAATTGCATTTCTTTGTGGAGTTGAGAATCTGGTGTTGAGTTCTCTGTTTGGGTTGTAGATTGACCAGTATTAGTCTGAAGTCTGGGTAGTTCTTGATAGAGAATCTTGTAAGGGAAGAGTGGTTGAGTGTTTGTAATCGTTCCTGATAATAATAGTAAGTGCAGCGAGCGTCCATATTCTGGAGCTCAACATGGACGTAGCTTGTTCAATATTGAACAAGTGAACCACGGTAAATACTGTGTGTTGATATGATTTTATTCTGCTTTGATAGATTGATTGTGTTGGTGTTTGCTTAGGATTAGTGAGGGGTATTTGCAATAGTGGTATCAGAGCCGTGTTTAGGGTTTCTCATAAACGAATTGAAATTCTAAGGTTTCTTGATTTGGGAATTCTATTTTAGGGTTTCGAAATATTTTAGGGCTTTTCGATTAATTAGTTCCATAGTCCTAGAGTTCCAAACACAATTAGATCCCTCCAAAATCATTAGTAAATCGAGTCAACTAAACACAATCTTGGTTTCTCATGGGTCTGATTTCGAACTCAAAATTATAAGTGTCACGCGCATGGAGATTTCCCAATACGATGGGAAAATAGATTTCAACACCTGGAAAAACAAAATGAAGGTCTTGCTATCCACAACAAGGTGGGAATCGCACTGGAGAAAGATGAATCCAAATGGCTGGAAGAAAAGAAAAAGAAGAAGGTAGAGGTGGACGAAGAAGCATACAATTGATCATCATGAACCTTTCAGACACCGTGCTTCGAAAGGTGGATGGCGTGGAATCTCCAATTCCACTATGGGGTAAACTCGAATCTTTGTATGTTCTTAAATTTGCTCCGAACTTAGCTTTCTTGAAAGGCGCTTTATTTTCTTATAAAATGGACCTAGTTAATCCCTAGATGAAAATTTGGATGAATTCCTAAAAATGACCCTAACCCTAAAAGGTACTGACCAAGAACTAGGAGATTCCAGCCTAGCCATGATCCTGTTAAATTCCCTACCAGAGGAATACTTAGTGGTAAAAAATGCCCTTCAGTATAGTGGAACAGTACCTAGTGTGGACCTAATTGTTTTTGGGCTAAAATCTAGGGAATTAGAATTAAAGATTCAAAAGCGTAATGATAGCAATTTGTTGTGAAAGGGAAATTCGATTATGGACAATTTGGTAAAGAGACTGGTAAGAACAATAAGAGAAATGTAGGCCTTAAAAATAGAAAGAATAGTAAAGGTAATGGGAGACCTAAGGGGGAATCTAGGAAGTGTTTTTTTCCATAACAAAACAGGGCATCTCAAGAAAAATTGCTATTAATGGATTAAAAAGAACAAACAGGCCAGTACAGAAACAAATCTAGCTAGCACAAGTAGTAACTTAGAAATATCTGAAGCCCTTACTATTTCTAATACATCTAGAAGCAATGAGTGGGTGCAAGACTCAGGTTGTACCTTCCACATGAGCCCTAACAAAGACTAGTTTCAAAGACTTAAAACTGGGGAACAAGAAACAGTATACATAAGGAATAATCACTCCTGTGAGGTTCAAGGAATAGATGATATAACCATTAGGCTGAATAATGGTAAGCTAGTATTGCTCACTAGGGTTAGGTATATACCCGAACTGAAACATAACCTAATTTCCTTGGGAACCTTAGACGAATCAGGTTGTTCCTATAAAGCACAAAATGGCTGTATGGAAGTCTACAAGAATGGGAATGTGTTGATATAGGGTGCTAAGAAAAATGGGCTTTATATCCTGTGTGGGTAGTACTATCTTGATGTTTCTAATGCTGCTTTACTTTCTACTAACATATCTGCTGCAGAAAAATGGCACTTGAGATTAGGCCATATAGGCCAAAATGGTATGAATGCATTAAAACAGCAGGGTTATTTTGGTAATGACATTGTGACTGCTTTAAATTTTTGTGAAATCTGTATTCTTGGGAAACAGCACAGGATGAGTTTCCATAAAGGAACTCACCTTGCTGCAAATTGTCTGGATTATGTTCATGCAGATCTTTGGGGTCCAGAAAAGGTAAAGTCACATGGAGGGAACATATACTTCCTCTCCATTATGGACGATTACAGTAGGAAGGTATGGGTATACCTTCTCAAGTCAAAGGATGAAAGCCTTAACGAAGTTCAAAGGTTGGAAAACCCTAGTTGAAACACAGTTAGATAGAAAAGTCAAAACACTTAGGATTGATAATGGGTTGGAGTTCTGTAACTTAGAGTTCGATACTTGCTGTCTAAATTAGGGGGTGCTAAGGCATAGAACTGTTAGGAAAACCCCATAATAGAATGGGGTTGTAGAGAGGATGAACATGACTTTTCTAGAAAAGGTCAGGTGTCTTCTTTTCACTGTTGGCTGCCCAAAACTTTATGGGGAAAAGCCCTAACCACAGTAGCCTATTTGATCAATAGGAGCCCATCTAGCTCAATAGGCTTCAAGTGTCCTGAAGAGAAATGGTCAGGAAGGAAACCAAATCTCAACCACCTAAGGGTCTTTGGGTGTGTAGCATATGCACACACCAGAGAGGGTAAGTTAGAACTTAGGTCCCTTAAATGTGTCTTCTTAGGGTACCAGGAAGGGACTAAAGGTTACAGGTTGTGGGAGAGGGATGTACCAGGAGTTAGGGTCATAATTAGTCAGGATGTAGTCTTTAATGAGACCATGTTTCCTTGCAAAACTTCTATTGACAATGTAGGTTACCCAAGAACAGATCCTGAAATGCCTGATCAAAGAGAGAGATCTCAGTTTGAGGTGGAGCCATCAATCCTAACAGAACAGTCTAAACAATTTGAAGCCACTGAACCAAAAAGCAATGTTTTAAAACCCGGCCCAGCCTGGCCAATTGAACCGGTTGAACCGGGACCTGGCCAGACAGCCGGGCTGGGTGAGCTTTATAACCGGTAGAATACTTCTGTCCAGTTTGACCCGCGGTTGCACCGGGGTTCTGTAGCACCCGCCGGTCCAACCGGTGACTTTAATGAAAACCAGGTCATGCACATTAATACAAAAAAAAAATTAAAATATTAAAATATTAAATTTAATAAATATAAAACAGTAAACTTGACTTGTCTTCACTTATACAGTATCAATATTTCCCCCCATTTTGACATTTTCACGCAACTTCTTCCCTCTCTTTCGTCTGAAAACTCTGAAAACCATTTGCATTTTCAATTTTTTTCATCATCCACGAGTCTCCCCTTCACCAGTTCATCTTCGAATCTCGTCACATTAGCCTTCACTGTCAACTGTATAGCTCGTCATCAACTGGGCTGCTGGGGTACCGCGTGATCTGTTCTCAGTCCTCTCTTCACCATCGATCTGCTCTGTTCTTCCGTCACCGTCGATCAAGAAGCTACACCGTCATTGTCATCTTCTTCTTGCTCAGGAACTGACGAACTGTGGGCAGTTGCGTTCTCTTCTTCTCTTCTGCAATCTGCAGTTCTGCTCTATTTAGTACTTCAATCTTCAACTGTTCATCCGTCGCCGTCGAGCTCCACCTCTCCAACGATCAACGGCAGCTTGTCTTCAGTCTTTACCAACACCAGGTATTGATTTGTATTTTCATTTTTAGTTTTTTACAATGTTTATACTTTACTTTATAGTTTATAGTTTATAGTTTATAGTTTATAACTTTGCAAGTTTGCAGTTTATATTGCCATTGATTGACTTCATTTGTGATGCTGATGTAAAGTGAAGTTGAAGTATTGATTGTTGAACACATGTTAATAATTTGAAGTTTTGAACCCCAAATAAGAGTTGTACCGAGACAAGTTTTAGCCAATTGTTCCACATTATTTCCTTGCCCTTGTTTGATTCAAAACACTTATACTCATTAAAAAGTCTGTAATAATTGAATTATAAAATACTGCAACTAAAATGCTAACGAGTGGTGATGATTAGTGACCCTAAACCTAAAGGACAATCTAGCTTGCTTTTCAGATTTTAAATAGGGGTATATGGATAATGGATTTGTATTATTGATTCTTCTATTGATAGTCAGTTTCTTCTATTGATTTTAAATAGGGGTATATGGACTTGTCAGATTTTAAATAAGGGTATATGGACTTGTAAGTTGTAAGTTTGTTTGTTTCAGTTCAGTCAGTTCACTACATTAGCTTACATATATATTTTGATGTTACAAACTTACAGCCTGTCGGTTGAGATGTCATCATCTGGGTCTTGTCAACAATCTGCTTCCATGGATGTTTCACAAACTTTTCGAGGAAGAAATGATATAGCATGGGCACATGTTAATGAGAGCGTGGATGAAAATGGGAAGAAGATATTAACATGTCTTTACTGTGGCAAGATAATTAGAGGTGGAGGAATTTATCGAGTGAAATTGCATCTAGCGGGTATAAAGGGAGAAGTTGGAAAGTGCCCTAAAGTTCCTTTCGATGTTAAATTCAAGATTGGAGAAGCACTAAATGAAATTGGGGCCAAGAATAAACAAAAAGTTGAACTTCGTAAGAATGTCAATCCTTATGGAGCTAGTGTACAACAAGAAGAGGGTGATATGTTAGATGAAGATCAAGAGTGTGAAGAGGTTTCTCCATGTCCAGCTCCAACTCCAACTTCAATTTCAAGCTCTAAGAGAAAAAAATCTATTGGGATAGGTGACTATTTTGCTCCGAGGACTAAGGCTGGGTCTCAGCCCTCAATTAGGAGTGTTTTAGCCGGAAAAGAAGCTAAGTGGAGAGCGGACATGGCTGTTGCAAGGTTATTTTATGATTCTTGCATTCCAACTAATGTTATTAATTCAATTTATTTTCAACCTATGGCGGATGCTATAGCTGCTATTGGTCCTGGGTATAAAATCCCAACTTATCATAATTTGCGTGTAAATTTATTGAGAGATGCAAGGAAAGAAGTGCAATTACTTGTTGATAGTTACAAGAAAACTTGGGAGGATGTTGGATGTACTTTAATGGCTGATGGTTGGACGGATAATTCACATAGGTCGTTGATTAATTTCCTAGTATACTGTCCTAAAGGAGTGTGTTTTGTGAAATCAGTGGATGCTTCAGATGTTGTAAAGGATGCTACAACATTGTGTAGCTTGTTTGAGGAAATAGCTTTATGGGTTGGACCAAACAATATTGTCCATCTTGTCACTGACAATGGAGCAAATTATAAAGCGGCTGGAAAGTTGTTGACTGACAAATATAGCAGTATTACTTGGTCTCCTTGTGCAGCACATTGCATTAATTTGACGTTGAAAGACATAGCTGAGATGAGTCATATAGTCAACCTTTCGACACGTGCATCTGAGGTTACAAAGTTTGTGTATAATCATTCATTTGTGCTAGCTTTGCTGAGGAAAAAACAGGTTATATACTTTTACTTCATATGTTTATAATTTACATTGTCAAGACATATTATATATGTACACTTTTTAATAATTTATTAAGTACTAACATCTATTGTCTATCACTTGAATAGGGTTGGACAGAAATTATACGCCCAGGTGCAACCCGTTTTGCCACTACTTTCATTGCATTGAGCAGCCTACATCAGCACAAACATGACTTGCAATCTACAGTGACAGATAGAACTTTTGTGGAGTCTCGATATGCAAAAACTAATAAAGGCAAAGCCTTTATTTCCATAGTTCTAGATAACCGGTTCTGGGATGACATTGGTATAATTTCTAAAGTTGTGAGTCCATTGATGCGTATGCTCCGGATTGTAGACTCAGATGAGAGGCCTTCAATAGGATATGTGTATGATGGCATGTACAGAACGAGGATGGGTATCAAGAAGCTGTTTAAGAACAAGAAAAATTTGTACAAGCCTTATACAACAATTATTAAGATGCGTTGGGATAGGATGTTGCGCCGTGATATTCATGCAGCAGCATACTATTTGAATCCTGCTTTCAAATATGACGAAGATACTTTTTCCAAAAAACCTGAGGTCATGTATGGTTTTCTTGACACTATTGACAATAAAGCAGGTGCATTCAAAATGAGCAAGACAAAGTTACTGGAGGAGAGTAGATTATATCGAGACCGTCTGGAAAGTTTTTCTCGTGAGCTTGCTCTTCAAACTTGCAAAACTACACGGCCGGGTATGTAATAGTTATTAACTTTTTAAGTTTAATTTTTAAGTTATGAAATTGTGTTTATTTCTAATGTAATTTATAATTTTATTCTCAATTAGATGAATGGTGGAGGACATTTGGCTTTAGTGCTCCAAATTTGCAAAAGTTTGCAATCAAAATTCTAAGTCAAACTTCGGCCTCTTCCGGATGTGAGCGAAATTGGAGTGTTTTTGAACGCATACATACTAAAAAGCGGAACAGATTGGAGCATCCACGGTTGAATGATTTGGTTTTCACTCATTATAACTTGCGTTTGCAAAATAGGTATAAAGCCTTCTTCATTTTTTTATTTTTATTGATGTCTTTCTTGGTCATGATTTGAATATTTAATTCTTCTATTTCAGGAGTTGTTACAAGAAAATTACATATGATCCTATTGATTATGAGAGTATTGATAAAACTGAATGGTGGATAGTTGATGAGGAAGAGGAGGTTGGTGAGCTTAATTATGAAGAATTGGAACAATCATTATATGGAGAAGGAGCTATTCCTATAGATGGTGGTGAATCTGGTGATCACCTTTCTTATTATGACTCAGCAGATGCTTCAGAAGGTTATTTACAATTTTTTAAGCAATTTCAATTTGGTATTATCTAGTTTATATTCAATTAGTTTAAATGGGAAAATTTAACTTATGGTTTTCCTTTTTTGCTAGAATTTTTTGTAGACGATGTCGCCGATGTTAATAATGATGACGATCCTCTATCAGGTGGTGTGTGAATTATGAATTGTGAATTTTAATTGAGGATGGAATGATGGATTGAAGACCATTCGGTGAAGATCATTTTTGGTTAGAATGTTGAAGTGTTGATTTGGAAGTTGAAAACTTGAAAGTTGAAAGTTGAAACAACTATTATGTGGTTTTTGATTTTTCTTCATTTATCTTGTTAGTTTGATTTGAAATTTGTTGTATTATTGATGTGATGGTGTATGATAATGCTTTGTTAAGGAGTTTTTATACTAGAATTTATGATTTGGAGCAAAATCTGGGAAATACAGGTTCTGTGAACAGTGTTTTTGTGACGTCAGCATGATGACATCACCGGTTGAACCAACTGGTTCGACCGGTTAAACCGGTCGACCCGGGACCCGGCCATCTTGCCGGGTTTTGTCCCGGGTCGATTTTTAAAACATTGCCAAAAAGTCCCACACTGCCAAACATTGGGGACCAATATGAAGAAGATAATCAACCTGAAATCAATGATGAAGACCAGAATGACAACCTCGCAGAATACCAGTTAGCAAGAGACAGAGTCAGAAGGGAGATAAGGCCCCCAAACAAATATAGTTATGCTGACTTGATCTACACTGCCCTTGTTGCTGGGGTAAAGACACTAAGGTCTAAACCAGAGACATACCAAGAAGCTATGAGTTCAAAAGACAGTAAAAAATGGCTAGAAGCCATGAAGGAGGAGATGATGTCCCTAAAACAGAACAGAACTTGGACTCTAGTCCCAAAACGTGCTAACCAGAAACTAATAGATTGCAAATGGCTTTACAAACTAAAAGAAGGCTTAACAAGCACAGATCATCCAAGATACAAAGCCAGACTGGTGGCAAAGGGCTTCACACAAAGGGTAGGTATCGACTTTACAGAAATTTTCTCTCATGTGGTTAAGTTTAAAACAATTAGGCTAATGCTAGCTATAGTGACACATTATGACTTAGAATTAGAACAATTGGATGTTAAAACTACGTTTTTGCATGGTGAATTAGAAGAGAAAATATATATGAGTCAACCAATGGTGTTTAGAGATAGAAACCTACGCAATCATGCTTGTCTACTGCATAAGTCCTTGTATGGACTCAAACAATCCCCTATGCAGTGATACAAAAGGTTTGACTCATTCATAGTGGGAATTGGGTTCATTAGGAGTGCATATGATAACTGCTTTTATTTTGCCTGCACTAATAACATGCTAATGTATTTATTATTGTGCGTAGATGACATGTTGTTAATAAGCAAGTCTAAATCTCACATAGAAGAACTAAAAGCAAAATTGAGTACTGAGTTTGATATGAAAGATCTAGGGTCAGCAAAAAGGATCTTAGGGATGATGATTAATAGGAATAGAAAGTCAAATAGATTAAAGCTTCATCAATTACCATATTTGCAGAAACTGATATCTAGGTTTGGAATGACTGATGCTAAAACTATCAACTTACCCTTAACAAGACATTTTACATTGAGCAAAATGCAGTCCCCCAAAATTGATGCAGATAGGATTAAAATGGAAAATATACCCTATTCTAGTGTCATAGGATCTGTCATGTATTCCATGATAAGCATTAGGCCTGACCTTTCCTTCGCAATATCATTATTAAGTAGGTTTATGTCTAATCAAGGAATAGAACACTAGGTTGCTTTGAAATGGTTACTCAGATACATTAACACTACAATGCATGTTGGATTAGATTTTTATAAAAGAACCCCTACACTTGATCTTGTTGGGTGTGGACTCTGATTTTGCAAGAGATCGAGATTCAAGGAAGTCTGACAGGCTATTCGCAAGTGTACGAAATCGTGCAAGTAATAAAACTCGAGTAAATGAGTGTCGAATTCTAAGAGAACTACCTACCAAGTACCAAATTAGTCTATTTTATTGCTATTTGATGAAATAGAATGTTATGGATGACTTTAATGAAAAAGAAAGCAAATCAAAATCTAAACGAAATCAGAATTTAAGAATCACTTTGGTATAAAAATCAATATGGCTAACCCTAGGGCACAGATTTCACACCAATTTAATCTTATGTATTGACGATCATTACTAACCTATTTAAGCTTATTCTAAAGGCCAAACTCCCCATTATTCCCCTAATTTTCTCTCGAACAATTAGTGAATTAACCCTTAAACAACAATCCAAAATATCTCTAAGTTGGATTTAGAAGCTAAGAGATCATTAAGTTATATGGAATTTACCAGAGCCTCACAGATCGCGGTAACCTATCTTTAGCGTTCGCTCAATCTATGGTTTTATTACCTTAGACAAATCAGGTTTCATCTCTCGATCTCAACCCAACCCATGATATCATTCAACCCTCGGATCCTTAAGAATTGAAAGCATTACCATAGTTGCAATAATGAAAACCATCATTCTATACAATAACATGAGTTCAGAAAGAAAAATATAAACACTTCTCTAATCGGTGAACGAGAGCTTCAAGAATCCCAATCTTCAAACTAGTAGCCGTCCTTCTCTCTCTCTTTCTAACTATCAACTTCATCCTCCCGATCTCTAGAATTCATCAAACAATTCTCTAAAGGAAAAATGGGGCAACTCTATTCAAAATTCTGTTCCACTATGGTGTCGAGAACATCAATCTTAAAGCATGAGTCTAGTTCAGATGGACGCTTCATAAATTCAAAAACATCAAATTCTACTTACTTATCTTCTACCCTTAAGATTAATTTCCCTTGGTGGACATCTGTCAATGTTCTACTCGTTGCTAGAAAAGGTCGTCTTAAAATTTAAGGTATCTCCCTATCTTCCTCCATGTCTAACACTATGAAATCTACTAGGAAAATCAGTTTTTCTACCTTAATCAAGACATCTTCTAACATTCCCCTAGGATATGTTATCGATCGATCAGCTAATTGAAGAGACACGGTGGTTGGCTTCACTTCTCCTAATCCAAGCCTCTTGTAGATGGAAAACGGCATTAAGTTAACACTAGTTCTCTTGTGTGTGGAGATCTCCTTCAGAAACTTCGCATACTTGGGCATCTGTTCTAGCATATCAACAAAAGGGATATTAATATGTAAACTTCGAAACATGTCAATAAACTTACCAAATTGCTTATTGAGCTTTTGATTTTTCAACCGTTGTGGGTATGGAAGGGTTGCTTGGCTTGAAGGAAGTAACTGCTCATATGCACGCTCACCGCGGCCACAAGATTCATCACCGCGGAAATTATTCAAAATTTCTGACATATTGCAACCATGATCACGCTCGCCGCCGCCACCGGATTCATCGCGGCGGCGATTGTCCTTGTTTCTGATGAATTACTCTGCATTCTCACGCTCGTCGCTGCCACCATCATCACTGCCATGACGATCATCCTTCTGCTCATTCTTCAGGTCTTGTTCTTGCCTGGGTTTTTCACTCTCTAAATTTTTCAAAATTCGTCCACTCCTCAAGGTGATTGCATGCGCTTGTTCCTTGGGATTCTTCTCTGTATCACTCGGCAAAACTCCTTGAACTCTTCCCGCTAATATGTTGTGAATTTGCCCAATCTGAGTCTCAAGGTTCCTAATAGAGGCTGATTGATTTTAAACCAGGACATCAGTCTTCTCAAACCTCTTGCTTGTCTCTTCAATGAACTTGGCCAACATATTCTCTAAATTAGATTTTGGCTCTTGAGGTTGAAAAACAGGAGCTTGTTTTTGCTCATTGTTGTTGCTCCATGAAAAGTTCGAGTGTTTCCTCTATGCTGGATTATATGTATTGGAATATGGATTCCCTTGCCCCCTTTGGAAATTATTGACGTAACTGGCTTGTTCAGGCTGAGCAAACAGGTTCCCTTCTTGGCAATCCTTTGATGAATGATTTCCTGCACAAAGGTCACATATTAGAGAAGAAGATTCAATTGCATTTGCTTTCAACACATTACCTAATTGCTTCTGGATGTTCGAAAGTTGAGCAGCCAATGCAGTGTAACCGTCAACTTTGTGCACTCCCGCTGATTTCCTTATTAGAGTTCTCTCTGGAGTCCTCATATAGTTATTGTTCACCATTACCTCGATCAGATTGTATGCTTCCTCTGGTGTTTTATTGTTCAACGCTCCCCCACTTGCAACATCAATCATAGCTTGAATAGTTGGTAGCAACCCTTGGTAGAACGTTTGCACTTGCGACTAGATTGGTAAACCATGGTGCTAGCACCTCCATAAGAGATCCTTATACCTTTCCCATGATTCATACAATGACTCTAAATCTTATTGGTAAAAGTTGGTAATCTCACTCCTCAGCTTGGTAGACTTGGCAGGTGGAAAATATTTAGTGAGGAACACTTGAGCTAACTCGTTCCATGTCGTGATGCTCCCAGATGGCAGAGAAATCAACCAAGCCTTGGCTTTATCCCGAAGAGAGAATGGGAAAAGCCTTAGCCTAATCGCGTTATCGGACACTCCATTATACCTGAATGTGTCACACAACTCCAGAGAATTTGTGATATGCAGGTTGGGATCATCATTAGGTGACCCTGCGAATTGGACCGACTACTGAATCATTCCAATAATTGCTAGCTTAATCTCAAAATTATTCGCTTGAACGGGTAGTCTCCTGATGCTAGAATAGCACCCATCAATAGAAGGACTAGAGTAGTCCTTCAATGCTCTCTGAACCACTATTGCTCCACCATTTGCATTTCCCCCTAAAGTATCCTCATTCTTATTCTCTTGATTTCCCATATTGGGATTCCCAATTCCTGTGTTAGCCATTGATTTTTCATAGTCAACTTGCCTCTTTTCTTTCCTTAACTGTTTAGCAGTTCTCTCGATCTCAAAATCTAGTGGACTAAGATCACCACGACCTCTTGAATGTAAACTCTCTAGATTCTAGCTGAAAACAACAAACAAAAATAAAAATTAATTACTAAACAAAAATAAACAAATCAAATTAGCAACTAAATATTTTGTATTGATATTGGTAAAATGAAAGAGTTCCTCGGCAGCAGCACCAAAAACTTGACAGGCTATTCACAAGTGTACGAAATTGTGCAACTAATAAAGCTCGAGTAAACGAGTGTCGAATCCCAAGAGAATTACCTACCAAGTACCAAACTAGTTTATTTTATTGCTATTTGATGAAATAG